AGTGTTCTTTTTTAAGGATGTTGTTGCTACTGTGTGCTCTCAAGTCCGAACTGATTCATAGTTGACCCTCCAGTGAGTTTTCAGAGACTCATAAATTGGATGGGAGGAGATTGCCCATATTTCTCCCAAAGAGAAGCTGGTGAATTCCAACTGGTTACCTTTGGGTGGGAAACACAATTCCTTACAAAATCCTCACAGAATCAAGGTCAGTCTGCTTTATTTAGAAATGCAATATCATTCCTTAGCTTTAACTGAACTCCATCCTGCTTAGAGTAAATAGTGTAGGACAATCTTGTGGATAAGAATGATGAAGATGTGTTAGATGATTATTAATGGTACAACTCATGCTTGAATAAAATGTGGGCTTGCACTCCTCTGTTTAATAGCACGCTTGACTAACATGAATTTCCATCAACATTGAGGACCTTTCTGTGATATTCAACACAGAAATTTCTGGAACCTCAGAAGGTTCTTTCATCAATCTACTACTCACTCTACTCATAGCTGTAAGAGTAGCTTTCTGAAGCTGTGAATTGCACAGGAGTGGAGGAAGACTTATCAATAACCTTCGTCATGCAGATGAAACCACTCTGGCTGCTGAAAGTTAGGAGGACTTGAGACACTGGCTACAGGTTAAGCACTGCAGCCCTCAATATTGGTTGTATATCTATGTAAAACAAACAAACAAAAATCCTCACCATTGAACATCATGATAGATGGAGAAAAGATTGACATTTTCAGTGAAGTTGTCTTCCTTGAATCTATAATCAATGCACTTGTGCTAACAGTCAGGAGATCAAGAGACATTTTGCACTAGGAAAGGCTATAGTCAGTGATCTCTCCAAATTATTGAGGAGCAATGATGTCAGTTTGAGGACTAAAGTGTGCTGATTCAGGCCATCATCTTCTCAGTCATTTACTATACATCTGAGAATTGGGCAGTGAATAAATATGACGGAGCAACAATTGAGGCCTTTGAAATGTGATGTTGGAGAAGAGTGCTGCATTCCATAGATGACCAAAAGAACACACAGATCTCTCTTGGAGATGGTTCAGCCAGAGTGCTCCTGGGAGGCAAAGATGATGAAACTTCATTTCACACACTCTGAGCATGTACCAGGAGAGGGTATTCATTGGAGAGGGACGGCGAAGGAGAGGAAGACCCTCAACCAGGTGGATTGGCACAGTGACGGCTTGAGTGAGTCAGAGATTGTGAGTATGGCAAAGGATAGGAAAGATTCACATCTATTCATGTTGTTGTTGATTGTCCTCAAGTTGCACACGCCTCAGTGACTCTATGAACAAAAGACTTGAGGCCTTTCTATAAGTATTGTTTCTTCAAGTTCATAGACTTTCCAGAGGCATATGGTTTAGGAAGTGGATGCCTCACCTGCTTCCAAACCTTTCTAAAACCTTGGAACTCCACCACTGTCCACGATGGGCATCCATTATGGTAATTGAGACCCCAATGATATAAACTTCAGCATCACACCAAACCCAGAAGAGTGCTGTATGATTTAGAAAAAATGTTCCTCCAAATACAGTAGCAAGGGATTACAATATAATTCCTCAGGCCCAACTTTTAAATGCAGGGGCCCACTGGCAGGTCTTGTTGACTCTAAACAAGAGGTTTACATAAAAACAATGAAACAATCTACACAGATCCAAAACAAGTGCACCATCATAGACCCCAGCTGCTTCATCCAAGACCAAAATGGAAAACAAGGGCTTGGCAATTATATGTTGTTGTCAAGTGCATCCTATAAACAAAAGACTTGCTCTAGAAGCATTGTCCTTTCTTTAAGTTCATAGAGTTTCCATAGGCATGTCTAGGAAGTAGATAACACTCCTGCTTCCAAGTCTGTCTTACTCTGTGAGCTCTACCAAACATTGTCAACCATGTGTAACCATTATGACACTTGACAGACCAGTGGCACAATGTTCAGTATCACAGCAATCCAAAGTTACCCCAATACAGAGGAATGTCAGAGCAGTGCTCTACCACTTAGGAGTGTTTATTTCAGTCAATTAAAATCAGACCTGAGGGCCCAAATGAGTTTTAAAGGCTACAGGCCCGTGCTTGAGACTCTCATTGGTTTCCATCAAGAGGCATCTGGCCAGCCAAAACCAACCCAGAGCCTGCCCTCCTCTGACACAGCAAAGGCCTGTGTTCACAGGATTGGTAAAAGTTGCACTCAACTTGACAGCACCCAACAACAACAGAAACCAAGTGACTTAATTGCTTTACTGAAAAAAAAAAAGCCAAAAACAAAAACAAAACAAAACACCAAAAACCCCACAAATGGTTGCTCTTAATTGACCCAAATAAAACCCAAACTCATGGTCATCAAACCGATTCTGATTCACAGCAACGTCTTAGGACAGAATAAAGTTCCTTATAGGGTTCCAAAGACTGATCTTTACGAAAGCAGAAGTCCATTTCCCCTCCCACACAGTGGCTAGTGGCTTTGAAACGGACCTTTTGATTATTAGCTGGGTCACTAGGCCTCTTTAATTAGCAGGTCATTAAAGAGTATACAATGCATGATTTTTAGCAGTAACCCAGGAGTTAAATGTACCAAGTATTCTTCAGAATGACATTATATGATTCTGAAAGAAAAATTGAATTGATGGTGAGCCCTGGCTCACTCTATCAATAAGTTATTTTCATTTATGAATACGTGAGTTCATTGGGGGAAAACCCACACTTAACCATATCATTAAAAGGTTAAGTTTCAGTTAAATATTCATTGTCATGTTTAAAATTATTATTAATGTTAATATTTTGTTACTTTTCTCTATTGTGGTAATAATTATTACAGTGGTTACTTAAGTATGAATATGAATAAATGTGAATTTTATTAGAGTATTATGATTTTCATTAAAAAAATCTGTGCTATTTTTTAAATTATATTTTTGTCATAGAGTTGCATCACATAATAGTGTAAGACCTTTGATGAAGAATTGGGATATTAGTTAAGACAAATAAAATGTATAGTTCACAAATGAGTACTTTTCGTAGAGTTTTTATAGGGAGGACTGCAGGCGTCACACTATGCTATTTTTAGATCATGGTAAAATAGGTTAAAGGTTTTGCTGTTTATCAAAAGTCTGGAGCACATTCTTTCAAACTGTGTTAGCAGTCCAACACTTAACTCACTAAGTCTCAAGGATTCATTTACATATGAGGGCCACTAACTGTCTACAAATGGCAAATCAGTTGTACATACATTCACACAAACTCTGATGACATTTAGGATTGTTAAATCTGTAAGCTGGAATATTTGGAAGATAGATTGTTTTTCAACCTACTCATCTAGGTCCACTCTTGTTTTTGTTTCTATTTTCTCAAAATTGTAGTTAGTCTTGCAAACAGTAGCCTATAATAAATCCTCTAAAACCTATATGTCTTTGCAACTATTTAAACATATGCTGAGGAAAACTATCATTTTAATTTTGTGAGGATGTATCTTAAAATGAATTAGGGAGCGGGTCTATGGAGTATTTAAACGTCAGTGATATGCCCGGAATAGATTCTGAAAATGCGATCGATGCCAGCACAAAGGTCTAAAGCAGCTCTTGCTGTGTGTTACCGCTGAGTCTTTTCCAATTGGTAGTGACCCCAAGTGTTGAAAATGGAAACTGCACTTCTTATGATTTTCAAGGTTGCATTATTTTTTTAATTTTAGTGGGAGTTTACAAATAGTATTGAGTTTTCGTTCAATCATTCATACATGTTTTGTTTTATGACATTAATTGCACTTGATTACTATAATTAATTACAATGTCTAATGCAGCCCTTATTGTGACTTGTGAATGCAGATCACTGGCCTGTCTCCTGGGGGTACCTCTGGGTGGGTCTGAGCTACCAACCTTCTAGTTAGTAGTCAAATGCTACAAGTTTTGCCCCACACAATAATCCTTCTTGAGCTCTTCATCAGGTAGAAAAAAAAATCCTTATAATTAGGAATCTCATCAGTCATTGTCCTGGAATCAGCTGACCCTCCAGCTGTAAATTGAGCTGTTTTTCAGAGACTGTAAATTGCCAGGGAGAAGATTTCTCATCTTTCTCCCTCAGAGCAGCTGATGAATTCTAACTAGCAGCCTTTGGGTTGGTAGCAAAACTCCCAGCTGAATAGACAACCAGAGCGCCCAAAGCCACTGGAGGTCCCTATAATAGCAATAGTAATAGCGCTTGTTTACTAAAGAGTCTTGGTGGTGCAATAGTTAGGTGTTTGGCTGCTAACTGAAAGGCTGGTGGTTTAAATCCATTGGTCACTGGAAGGGAGAAGAACTGATGATCCACTCCTGCAGCCTTGGAAACCCTAGAGGGTGATTCTACCCTGCCCTATAGGGTCACTGTGAGTTGGAATTACCTCAGGGCAATGGATTTGAGTTAGGTTTAGGTATTTACTCTCACAGGTAATAGATGATTGTGGACGTAATGATCTAAAATGACACTCATTTATGTTTTATGGATCAGAAGTCCAGGCATGGCTAAAATGTACTTTTTGCTTGGGATCTCACCCGGCCACAGTCAAAGTGTTATCTGACTGTGTTCTTTGACACTGAGTTGAAGGCTTGGTTAGGGAAGGATCAGTATCGAAGACAATTCAGAATTAGACAAATTCATAGATTTGTGGTTGTATGATTAAAGGTTAGGTTTTCTGCTGGTTGTTGGGTGGAGGCCAAGCTCCAGTCCTCAGGACCACTCACGTTCCTTGCATATGGTTTTCCTCAACATGGCTTTTTATCCTATAAAGCCAACAAAGAGAACCTGTTGTTAAAGTCTTCTAAGGTGACTTCTTATATAATATAATGGAGTTGAGTTATGATATCCTATCATCTTTACCATATAACATAATTTAAACAAAACAGTGACATTCATAAATTTTCACAAAGCTACTGTTTCAAAACAAACCACTTATCCTATTCAAAGTCAAAGGCTGAAGAGTTACACAGATGTGTAGACACTGCAGGTGAGAATCCCTGGGGTCACTTTAGAGTCTGTCCATCACGTTATGGACTTCATTTTGCAAATATTGTTCCATCAAATGAAATAGATCTTGGTAAACTTCCTGAGGTGCATCTTGTCCCAGATAAAAATCCACATGATTGTAGTGTGGAATCTGTTTGTAAAAAATAAGGTTGGAAATTTTAGGGAGTAAATTCTCCACATCCTTGATATCAGCCATAACGTCGTGTCCGCCATTCCACACTGCTGTTGGAATTTTCATCTTAGTAACATTGTATAGGGGAGGTGTGTCCTAAATTAAATTAAAGGTATAGAGGGGGGGGAAAGAGATGTTATAGGAAATTACATTTAAAAAAATAATGTTCACTTTCTGCTCTTAAGTAAGTATTTAAAAAACTAATAGTACAATCAAGAAACATTTATGTAGAGATCTTACAATATTAAAAAATTCAGAGTATACTTCTGTGCAGTTTAGGAACCATGAATGATGAGGACAACCATTGAATTACTGACTTATGCTTTTTGAGAAAGGAGAAAAAGATTCTAGAGGAAAGGGATCTCTTATTTCCCTGGGTGGGCCATCTGTCTAATAGTACTTTATTATTATTTTTAGGTACTATTGGGTTGGAACTGAACTGTACCTGACCTTCCAATGGGTTTTCAGAGGTAGTTAATCACATGGGAGGAGATTCTCCATTTTTCTGTAGAGCAGCTGGTGGATTTGAACTGCATGCCTTTGGATTGGCAGTGCAGCTCCTTACCACTAGGCAAGCAGAGCTCCTCTTTTCAATCAAAATGTGAGCCTCTTATTTTTAAAGCATGAATAATTTATTCTCAGTCTGTACTCAATTTTTCTTAACAGTTCATTGTTGCTGTTGACCCTCTAAATAAAAGGCCTGAAGCCAATCTACGGCAATCGACATTTATCAAAATTCATAGCGTTTCCGTGACATGTTATTTAGGAAGTGGATGCCACTTCTGCTTACTGCCTCCTAAAGTGTAAGCAAAAAGCTTTAACTGAATCAGTAACACCATATAAGTTATTTTGTTGGAATATGTAAGCATGATGTTTTGGAAGCAGGAGTGGCATCCACTTCCTAAACAACATGCCTCCGGAAACTCTATGAACTTTGATAAATGTTGATAGTTATAGAAAGGCTTCAGGCCTTTGTTCATAGGGTCGCTATGAGTGGTGCTCAACTTGAAGGCAATCAAAACAACAACCTACGAGTTAACTATCATCCAAGTAAGTGATCGATCTTACATGGCAAAGTCATCTGAAAAATTTCTACTAAAGCACCTATATACTTCTTCTAGGACAAAGAATTATTAATGAAAGTAAATCTTATTTTGACATTTTGTGTGTGTGTAATTGTGTAAGCAAATGCTGTACAGTTTAGTGGAGAAAAAAGAAAAATTCTCACCACTTGAAGTAGAAATGTTTAATTATTGCAGTTATTAAAGTGCAACCATAATTAACATTGTAAAAGAATTTAAATAGGTAGAACTTGAAATTTTTACAAATCTCCATACTCTTGATTTAAGAAAAGCACGTATGTTTGAGGACTACTTCCTCAATCTGAGCTCAGTCTACACAGAAACTTACTAGCTTTGCCTCAATAATGGATAAAAAATAATACTAACAATAACAATAATACACATTTCATTTTAGTGTATAATTTTTTTCTGGCAATTTAGATTATAACAAGAAAAGATATGTCCTGACACACAATTCTCCAGCATATACCAGAAATTCTTGCTTAAATGAATTTTTTGGAATGTCTTTAATAATTCATATAGATACAGATAGACAAAAGAATTATGTGTATATCTCTCTCTTTCTCTCTCTCTCTCTATATAAGCTCTCTATATGCATATATATTTGCTATCTATTAGCATATATATGTTATCTATTAGATATGTATAGATATATCCATTATACATGTATATATGTATGTTTCCATTGTATGTAATATTATATAATATGATATTCTAATATATAATACATATTATTATAATATTAGGGAACTCTTGTAGCAGTAGCCTCTTTTTTAAAATTTTTTTAGCAGTAGCCTCTTATTGTCTCTGAAACACCTACCCCCGTTACCTCAGTCACTGAGTCAATCCATCTCATCAAGGGTCTTCCTCTCCTGTGCTGTCCCTCCTTGTAACATGCCCAAAGTATGTCAGATGGAGCTTCAGAATCTTTGCCTCTAAGGAGCATTCTGGTTTCACTCTCTCCAAGATGAAATTGTTTGTTCTCTTATCAGTCCATGGTATGTACTCCATACTCTTCTCCAGCACAACAGCTCAAAGACATCAATTCTCCTATCATCCCTAGTCATTGTCCAGCTTTCTGATGCATGCATTTGTAAATTGCAAAGACTGTGGTCTGGATGAGGCACACCTTAGTCTCCAGACTAACATTGTTGCTTTTCAGTACTCTGGAGATGTCGCTGACAGCAAACTTGCTCAATGTAATTCATCTTTTGATTTCCTGGCTGCTGGTCCCAAGAGTGTTGATTGTGGAGCCAAGCAAACTAAAGCTGTCAACAACCTCAATATTTTCACCATCCATCCTGATGCTGCCAATTGGCTCAGTGGTGAGAATCTTTCCTTTCTTGATATTGAACTTCAACTCATATTGAAGGCTGCAGTCTTTGGCCTTCTGAAGCAAGTGCTCAGGTCATCCTCAGTTTTGACAAGCAAGGTTATGTCATTTGCATAATGCAGGTTATTGATGAGTCTACCTCCAATCCTGATGCCGCATTCCTCCTCATAGACCCCAGCATTCCTGATTGATTCCACATATAGATTAAAAAGGTATGGAGATAGGACACATCCCCCGCATACACCCTTCCAAATTTTAAATTATGCAGTATTTATTTTCTCTGTTCTGATGACTGTGTCCAGGTCCAAGTACAGGTTTCGTGTAAGCACAATCAAGTGTTCTGGGAGTCCTATTCTTCTCAGAGTCAGCCACAGTTTGTTGTGATCCACACAGTCAAATGCCTGTGCATACTCAATAAAACACAGATAGACATTCCTCTGGAACTCTCTGTTTTCAGCCAGGTCCATCTAATATTAGCTGTAATAGTACCACAACCTCTTCTAAACCCAGGTTTCACTTCAGGCACTTTGCTGTTGACGTGCTGTTCCAGCAATTTCTGGATAATTTTCGGAAGAATCTTGCTTGTATGTTTTATTGATCATATTGTTTGATAATTTCCGCATTCTGTCGAGTTACCTTTCTTTGGGATGAGAACAAATATAGATCTCTTCCAGTCAGTTGGCCAGGTGGTTGTCCTCCAGATTTCTTGGCACAACCTGGTGAGTACATTCAGGGCAGCATATGTTTGTTGAAATATGTCAATTGATATGTCGTCAACTCCTGGGGACTTGTTTTTTGTCAATTCCTTCAGAGCAGCTTGAACTTCTTTCATCACCATAGGCTTTTGCTCATTGTTGTTTCATTAAATTCTTCTGTGTCAACTAATTCTTTTTGGTACAGTGCCTCTGTATACTCCTTCCATCTTCTTTTAATATTTCCAGGATCATATAATATTCTGCCCAGAGCATCCTTAAGTATTGCAATTCGAGGCTTGAATTTGTTCTTCAGTTCTTTCAGTTTAAGAAATGCTGAATGAACTTGGCCCTGGTGATTTTCTGACTCCAGCTATCTGCACATTTCATTATAATATTTTGCTTTGTCGTCCCGTACTGCCCTTTGAAATCTTTTGTGTCAGAAACAGTCAGATTCATTCGTATGGTGGGGAAGAAGAACAAACTGGGGAGGAGGGTAGAGAGAATGATGCAGCAATGAAGGAATGAAAACCCAAAATCCCTGTAAATGTTCATTAAAACTAATAAAATTTAATAAAATAAAAAAATTTTTTTAAAAAGAAACAGATTGGCTCCAGAGAGAACAGGGTTCAGAGCTGTTGTACATAGGGTTATTACAAGTTACAGGCAACTCGATGGCACATAATAAGGACAGCTGGTGGCCTAGTGGCGAGAAGCTGCACTGTAATATCAAAGGTACTTAGTTTGAGGCCACCAGCTGCTCTGCAGGAGAAAGACGGGCAGCCTTCTCCTGTGCGATTAACACCTCTGAAAGCCTACCAGAGGGTCAGCTGTGGGTCGGTTCTGACTCTGTAGTACACAACAAAATATGATAATGTTATATAATTACAATACAAAATAAGTTTATGTAAAATTATATATATTTCCATTATATATCTATATAGATCATATATTTATAATGAGGGGTATCTATATATATAACTGTCATATTCTTTGCAAATACTTGCTATGCATCAGAGAGCTGGACAATGACTAGGGGTAATAGGAGAATTGATGCCTTTGAGCAGTGGTGCTGGAAAAGAGTATTGAGTATATCATGGACTGCTAGGAAAACAAACAGGTTCATCTTAGAGACAGTGAGACCAGGCTGCTCCTTAGAGGCAAAGAATCTTAAGCTTCATCTGACCTACTTTGGAAATGTTGCAAGGACATCCTTGGAGAGGGACCTCATGTTTGGGAGGACAGAGGGATAGCACAAAAGAGGAAGACCCTCGATGAGATGGATTGATTCAGTGACTGGGGTAATGGGGGTAGGAATTTCAGAGACAATAAGATCGGTACAGGACAGAGCAGGGTTTAGGGAGTTCCACATAGGATCACTATGAGTCGCAGGTGACTCAACGACACATAAAAACAACCACACATAATGGAAATATGCATACAGATATGGATATATCTTTCCATCTATTTAATAGATAGCAAATGGCATCTTAAAGAATAATGAGAGCATTCATTTCACAAGATATCATTAAGAAGTTACAATAGCAAGGAGTTGGAAACAACCTAAGTGCCCATCAACAAACGGATGGATAGAGAACCTGTGGTATATTCACACAATGGAATACTATGTCACATTGAAAAACAAGGAACTCATGTAATATTATTCAAAATGAGTGACTCTGGAGGACATTATGCTGAGTGAAGTGTCTCAGTCACAAAAGGACAAATACTGCATGGTGCCCCACTGTTGTAAAACAGGACTGACATCGGGGTTGGGGGGGAGACTGAGAGAGATGGTTTCAATAATGTATACTGCATTGAACAGATGAGGGAGAGAACTGTTTAAAAGAGATATGTGATTAGGTATTTTTGTCATGACAGGAGTCCAGAATGAAGGCTGCCTAGTGGAGCGGACCTGCGGGGAGGGATTGTAAAACAATGAAAGAATTTTTCTTTTACTTTTCCAAGAGGGTAGTGTACTGGGGGAGAGGGTTGGGAGGGGAGAAAAGTGCAACAGTGAATGAATGGAAATTAAAAAAAAAAAAAAAAAGGAAAACAAACAACCTGTATCTACAACTAAGATTTACTGAGGAGATTAAATAACAGACTGTGTTATGGGCTTAAAAAAAAAGACATAAAAATAATAATAAAAAGAATATACTTTTAAAGTGTATCATTAATTCTATCTTCAAAATATAGTCTTAAGCACAGAGAATTTCTAATTTTGTTTTGATTTGAGAAAGAACAGGTATGTGGTAGAAGAAAGATAAAAGTTATTTCTTAGAAATGCTTGATCATGTTTTTTACTAGTGAAAAGGAGTTACAATTTATCTAGCCACTTGAAGCCTCTGAAGAAATGGGATAATAATATTTACCTTGCTAATTCATTGGGAGGATGAGAAATAGTGATCTGGCACATGGTAAGAATTCAGTAAGTAGCATTGTTGTTGTTGTTGATTGCCATTGAGTCAAGCATGATTCATAGGGACACTATGAACAAAAGACCTAATAATGCCTTTCCATAACTATCGTCATTTCTCCAAGTTCATAGAGTTTCCAGAGGCATGTGGTTTAGGAAGAAGATGCCACTCCTGCTTCCAAACCTGCTTTACAACTGGGAACTCCACCAAACACTGTCCACATTGGGAAACCATTCTGGTATTTGATTCCCCAATGGCACAAGGTTCAGCATCACAGCAAACCCAGGTTACTTCTTACAGCAGATGGACAAAGAGTGATGTACAAAGTGAAAGAGTGTTCTTCCAGGTATAACAGGGTGCTCAGTACCTGTATATGCTTTTACTAGTTCATTTTCAGTATATACATTATTATTATTATTACTATTACTATTGGACATACCTGGTTAAAGTGTATCATGTTTTGATTTGGGCTTCCCCAGTCAAAAGCTTGCAGTTTACCGGACTGAACTGCCTACAGGAAAAATAAACAAACACACACACACACATAACACCATATTTAAATGATGTGAGAAAATTGTGTATGTTTAAAGACCTTAAACAAGAAATCCACAAAGAAGATTGTCTCACCTTTTAGGCACATGAGTTATAATGCAAATATATGTTAATAAGCTGAATAATAAAATTTAAACTAACTCACATAACTGACCTGAGGTATTGCAGTAATAATCTTTTACTCCTTTCAAGGAACTCTACTAACTGGGATAGTGTGTTATCTATCACTGACTTGCCAACCGAAAGGTCAGAAGTCTGAATCATTAGGGAAAGAGGAGTCATTTCTTCCTAGAGGTTCATAGCGTTGGAAACCTAATGGAAGGCAGGCATGCGTCTGAACTGATTTGATTGCTTTTGTTGTTTGGCTATTTTCCTAATGAAAATTCTCAAGAGGAGATACTTTCCAATGTTTAATTAGAAATTTAAACATAGATGCTCAATTGAACGTACCCAAGAATTCTTATACTTATTTTTTTTAAATGTACCAGCTATATATTGCCTACATTTAAAAATGACTGCTGTCTTATTAACAACGTTGTACCTTATCTTCATCAGGAGTCCTAGGGTATTCAGAAAAAACTCAGAAAATGAAGGCAGTTGCCACCAAGTCAGTTCCAACTAACAGCAACCAGAGAGTGTTAAGAGTAGAGAGCTCTGCTCCACAGGGTGTTCGGTGCTTGATTTTTTTTAGGATTTATTCTGAGTGCTTCTGGGTGTTCTTGAACCTCTTCCAACATTTTTATTAGCAGCCAATACATTACGGTTTGCCCAGCCAGAGATGAAGTGAAGGTTATTATCATCATTTTCCTTATTCTTAAAAAAGTATTTATTACTATTGCACAAAATATTTACTCTCAGAACTCCCTTAGTTCTTCCTGTGAGGTTGTGAGGTGCAGGGCAGCCATCTGCCCACTGTCTCCTGAGCCAAGAAATTAAATTCTAAGACAGAAGGCATCATCATGTACATTTATTGATTTGCAGACTTCAGATATTAGAGTTGAAATATTGTTGTGGGGGTGGTTGTGTGCTGTTGAGTTGACACTGACTCATAACTGACCCTCAAGTGGGCTTTCAGAGCATGTAAATTGTGTGGAAGGACTGCCAAGGAATAGCTGGTAGATTTGAACCCTGTGCCTTCAGGTTGACAGTCATAATCTTTTACTCCTTTAAAGTAACTCTCCTGGGATAGTGTGTTATTGCTGGGTTGCCCACCAAAAGGCCAGAGGTTTGATGGATAATTTCTTCTCACGGATTTGTAGCATCACAACATGATGGAAGGTAGCCATCCGCTACTTACCACTAGGCCATTTTGATTCTTAGACTTCAGATATTAGAATAGAAACATTAATACAACATAACTCATAACTATTTTTTGTTTTACACTTCCCCCCATTATTTTCCTTTTCATACTTTAAAATTTTTTTATTGGTTTGCATGCAAAATTTGTATACATTGTGTTCTACACTATCCTTCATTCACATTGTAGTTTATACAATGATTTTCATTCATTATGTTTTATAAAATCAATCATTAAACTATGCCTTTCATTATCTTGTCTTTCCAGATCCCTGATGGATCTTTCCCATTTCTTTTACCTCTGCCCACCTTCCTCCATCCACCAAATTGTGCAACCCTATGACTTTCCCCCTGCCGACCCTCACCCCTCTGCTTCCACCCTGTCCTGTCTTGGATCCTCATACAGGCTTTACTAGTTATCCTTCTGTTTGTACAATAATGGTCTTAGGCAGTATTTATCTTTATGGGACTGAGTTAGTTCACTCAGCTTAATGCCCTCCAGTCTCTACTAGTTTACATAGTAATTTTCAAAATCATTGCTCCTGAGTGCTGCATAGTATTCTATTGTGTGAATGTACCACAATTTCTCAATTCATTCAGTTGTGGTTGGACATTTGGGCTGTTTTCAAGTTCTTCCAACAGTGAATACCACTGTGAACGCTCGTGTACAAATATCTGTGTCTCAGTTCTAAGTTCCTTGGGGTTTATTCCTAGCAGTGGAGTAGCTGGATCATATTTTCAAGTTTTTTAAGCTCTTTTTAAAAAAATTGTTCTGCTTATAAAGTTCGTATACATTGTGTCTCTCACTATTCTTAGTTCACGTTGTGTTGCATACAATCATTCCCATGCATTATATTTTATAAAATTAATCACCATTGGAGCGTGCCCGTCACTATCCTGTCTTTTTTCCCAGGTCCTTCCCCTTTACTTTCCCTCCTCCATCCACTCACCAAGCATTGTAACCCTGTGGTTTTGCCCCTACTCATCCTCAGCCTTCCCCCCCCTTGAATTATCATATATATTTTGCTAGTTATCCTTATATTTTTATAATAATGGTCTTAGACAGTATTTGTTCTTTAAGAGTCTGAGTTAGTTCATTCAGCATTATGATCTTCAGTGTCTTCCAAGTTATATAGTAATTTTCAGAATCATTGTTCCTGAGTGCTGCATAGTATTCCACTGTGTGAATGTAGTACAATTTCTCAATCCATTTGGTTGTAGTTGAACTTTTGGGCTGTTTCTTTGTTCTTGTGATGGGGAATAACACTGCTATGAACATTGGTGTACAAATCTCCATTTGTGTTTCACTTCTAATTATGTTCAGCTTTTTAACTACCTGCTCTTGAATAGATTCCCTGGTGGTCCTGTGTTTAAGTACTTGGCTGCTAACCGAAATTTTAGCAGTTTCACTCTGTAGGAGAGAGACGTGATAGTCTACTTTCATAATGATTACAGTGTTTGAAACTTTGCTATCTGTATGGTAGCTGTGTGCTTGCTATGAGAAATACTCCTTGGGTTTCTTTTTTCTTCTATTTTCTATCCATGCTGAATTCAGGATGTAGATAATTAGTAAATTCTTCCAAGAGTACTTTAAGAGGTCTTAGTTTGACTCTCAGATGACTCTTTCACATATATTGCGTGGATACCAAATTTCAGTGAATCTTTATCACTACCATGACTTATATATTTATAGGGCAGCGAGGGGCTGCTACTTACATTCCCCATATTCACATCAATGAAAGGTGGTAAGGAGTTTGATTTCTACCTTCAAACAGATCTTGGCTTGAATTCAGTAAGCTTAACTACATACTGAATCTGTGATTTAGGTCAAGGAGACCAATATCATAATCATCATAATTTCACAGATGAGGCAAATAGTATAGAGAGGTGAAATAAGAATTACAGTAATATCTATCTCAAGCAATTGAAGTTTAAATAGAACAATGCATAAGATAAAGCATCTGGTTATTCACAGTGATCAAGAACTACCTCTAAATATTACCACTGTCATCATCACCCTCCTTGCTTTAGTTGTTTGTACATCTTATAATAAAATATTTTATATCCCTTACTTATTTCTATAATGAAGGGAATTTTCTATCAGAGGAAAATTGTTTCTCCTAACAGAAGGGAACTGGGAGATAAGGACAAATACTGTATAAGACTATTATTATAAAAATGGAAATATAACTAGTAAAACGTATATAGGGGCCCATGGAGGGGAGGGATATGAGCAGAAGGGTGAGGATGGGAAGGGAGGAAATGATGTGGTCTCACAATCTGCTGAGTGGAACAATGGGGTTAAAGAAATGGGAAAGATCCAGTAGGGATCTAAAAAGATGGGGTAATGGTGAGCATAGTTGGTTCGGTTATTGGGGTAATCGTGATGAGTGTGGCGGAGGCAGCGCGATTGGCACAAGACAGAGCAGGTTTTAGGGCTATTGTACATAGGGTCGCTATGAGTCACAAGTGACTTGACGGCACATAACAACACCACCACCACCACCACCACCACCACTATAAAATAAAAATGAAAGAAAACAAACAGAATAAGACCTTTCTTAGATTGGTTCTCTAATTCTACTGTTTACTTAAAAAAAAAAAAACACAACACGCAACACCCCAAAACATCCCAACTATTGACAACCCTTGGAGCCCAGCTCTACTCTTACACACACTCAGGTGCTGAGAGTCCGAATTTGACTCTACAACAATTGGTTTGATTTTAAATGACCGTTGAAATCTGGATTCCCCAGGGAAAAGAGGTCTTGCAGTGTGAGGGACTTTGCTGATCCCAGAAATATCAAACTGTGGGTGTCAGGGGTTTGTGAAGCCCCGCTGTACAAGCCACATTACCTGGCTGCAATCCAATACGTGACACTGCAGAGAGGAGACACGTACCTGGGCCCAGTGCAGCATGTTCTGGACCGATGTTCCTGCCAAGCCTTGCATCATATAAACATCCAAGCGACTCTGCAAAGTAGAGAGATTATTCCTCACACAGAGCGCAAGAGTGGACTTGGGAGAACAATTCCAATCGATAGAGATACGGGGGAAACACTAGACCTTCTGAAAATATACTAAAGAGAAAAGAACTTTTAAAAGAAATCTCTTCTCCTCCAGCGCTATACTTTAAACCTGGACTGCCTGGGAAAGGAATGGATAATCTTCTTCTGTGATAGTGACTGCCTCTGAACACCTGCTGAGGGTGGGGATGAGGATCAGGTCTAACGCAGTGGCACACAACAAGAGGTATAAGCTTATCTGAGACATGCCCAACAATAGAAGGGAGGTCCAGATATAAAATCACAGTTATACATCTGCAAAGAAATCACGACATCCTTCTTCACCCTGTGTTACATTCCAAGGAGCGTTCAAAGAAAATCCTTGTTCGAAGATGTGGTGAACAGATATAAATGTTTCCTTCTGAAAAAGAAACCAGAGCTGCTGCCAAAACAGATAGATGCACACTCATGTTTATTGTTGCATTATTTACAATAGCAAAGGGATGGAAGCAACTCAAATGCTCATCAACAAATAAATGTATAGAAATATTAGGATATATGTACACAATGGATACTACACAGCACCGAAAAACAAGGAACTCATAAAGCATTACACAAAATAGGTGACTTTGGAGGACATTAATTAGTCACAAATACTGCATAACATCATTGTTATGAAACACAGGGCTGACATAGGGGTTGAGAGGAAACTAAGAGGGGATAAATAATGAATACTGCATTGGATCAGATAAAAGAAAGAACTATTTCAAAGGAATATATGATTAGACATTATTTGTATGACAACAGTCCAGAAGAGGTACATAGCAAAGTGGCTTTGGGGGATGAAGGTGTAGAGAGGGAAGGAGGAAATTATGTAACATTGAATTAATTTTTTTTCTCAAGTGAACTGAGAGTATAGGGAGGAAAATATGTAACAATGAATGAATGAAAATCCAACTTTAAACTTTTGTTAAAAGTATAATATAAAAATTTAAAAAAAATAAAAGCACAATCAGAAAAAAAGAAGTAAAAAATAAGAATTGTGTGGGACACAATCAAGAGAAATGATCTACCTGTGATTTAAATTCCACAACAGGAAGAGACAAGAATAGCCCAGGGGAAAATGTCCCAAATATTATAAAAAATTTCAAATATGCATTTAGAAAGCTATGTGCACCTCAAATAAGATAGCCTTCTCTACAAAAAGTATCAAGACGTATGAGAATGAAATTTTCCAAAATGAAAGACAAAGTATACAGGAAGCAACTCATGAAAAATTGAGTGTTATCTACAAAGACAATTGAGATTAAAATCTGATTTCACAGTAAAAAAACATGTAGGCAAGAAAGTAATAGGATGAAATACATAAAACTCTGAAAGAAAAAAATAAAAATGCCAACCAAGAATTATAAACCCAGAAAAATGTCCCTCAGATAAGACAATGAAATTAGAACATTTCCAGATACACAGGAACTAAGAGAATTTATGAAAACTAGACCATGCTTATAAGAAATACTAAAGAGTTCTTTGGACAGAGAATCAAAGCTGAAATACAACAAGACAGAAATGTTTATGGGAACATAATTAACTAGTATACCTAGACATAGAAATACACAACTCCAAATTAATTTATAAAAGTTAAGATAGAGAACTTCAAAATGTAGGGAGCTCTGGTGACTTATTGGTACGAAGCTACACTGCAATCCCAAAGGCACATGGTTTGAATCCACTAGCTACTTCAAGGGAGAAAGATGAGCAGTCTCCTCCTGTAAAATTTACTGCCTCTGAAAACCCACAGGAGGGCCAACTACAGGTTGGTTCTAACTTGGCAGCACACAACAACAATTCAAGTTCATAAATGAGGACAAATAAAGGGTAATTAAGGGAGACTAAATAGTGTAGTTGTAGAACTTCAAAACCTAGAGGAGTTCAAAGGTAATTTAAGAGAAAGTGAACTGTTTTAGACAGACATAAATATTAATTTACAGGATAACTTCAAGAAAATGAGGACCTAGAAGTCTTAAACCATAGCATAAATAGTCAATCATCAGAGGAGAAACGAAACCAGAGAGACCTAAGAATAAGATGCCTGTGTACATCAAAGTCTTCTGCAAAAGAGTAAAATGGGAATCTACATATTGGAAAAATATTTGGCAAAAATATCTAGGAAGGGATCTATTTGTAAAATTTATAGAAAACTTCCAAACCTCAACACGGAAAAGACCAACAACCCAATAACTAAATAGGAAGAGAAATAGAAAAGATATTTGGCCAAAGAAGACATTCAAATTACCAATAAATACATGTGAAAACTTGTGACATGATTAACTATTAGACATAAACAGAAAAAAAAACCCTGAAATATCATTTCACCTCAGCAATAATAACAAAACCTGTTATCAGGAGGGCCCAGTCTTTTTTAAAAAATGATTTTTTTTTATTTTATGCTGGTTTGCTTACAAAGTTCGTACATACTGTTTTTCACACCTAATCTTTCTCATTTCCTTTACCCACCCTATCCTCTTCCCATCAAATTGTGTGACCCTATCATTAGTCCCCTGTTAATCTTTATCCCTCTGCTCCTTCCCTTCCCCCACCCTTGGATTCTCATACACATTTTACTAATTATCTTTTTATCTCCACAATAATGATCTTATACAGTATGTGTCCTTACGGGACTAAGTAACTTCCCTTAGCAAACTGTTCTCCAGACTCGTTCAAGTTAGGTAATAATTTTCAAGATCATTGCTCCTGCATGCTGCATAGTATTTCATCATGTGACTGTACCTAAATTTCTCAATCCATTTGATTGTGGTTGGACATTTGAGCTGTTTCCATGTTCTTTGATGGTGAATAATGCTGCTATGCACACTGGTGTGCAAATCTCTGTGCTTCAGTTCTAATTTTCTTGGAGTATGTTCCAAGCAGTGGATTAGCTGGATCTTACAAAATTTCTCTGCTCAGCTTTTTGAGGAAATGCCAAACCTGCCCTCCAGGAAGGATCAGTCTCTTAAGAAACATATGCTGTTTTGTAGAGTGTCAGTAAAAAGGAAGACAAATCCCAACAAGCTAGACTGACAGTGGCTGCAGCCATGGACTCAGGCATGACAATACTGGGGAAGATGGCCAAGTCCAGACAGTATTCTGTTCTGTTAAATACAAGGTCACTATCAATAAGAATTGGCTTGAAAGCAACCAACACCGTTCAAAACAATTATTATGCAGGGATACTTTTTTCTAGTAAACAGAAAATGAGAAGGAAAGTGAAAGATCAGGAAGACCTTTAATTAGACATAGTGATTGCCACAATGGGTTTGTTACAGTGGAGATTGTGAGAATCTTGCTCATCGAGCAGGGTTTTGATCCTTTGTATATAGGATTGCTCTGAGCTAGAACTGATTTAATAACACCTAACAATAACAACAACAAAGCCTGCTTTATATAAAAAGTCTTTGAAATTTCATTTGAAACTATTACGTTATTATCAGCATTTTCCCAGTGGAGTATGGACAGTAGTTATTTGAGATAAATGGAGACTATTTTCAAACATATCTTCTCTCTCTCTCTGTAGAACCCTGAAGAGCTCCCTTTGTATCCATTTCCTGCTGTTTGAGACCAACTACTGGAGTCACTGTACCAAAAAGAATTGGCTGTCACAGAAGAATTTCATGAAACAACATATGACAAAAGGCAATGGTGATAAAGGAGGAAGTTCAAGCTGCTCTGAAGGAATTGATAAAAACAATGCCCCAGGAATTGATGGAATATCAATTGACGTATTTTAGCCGTATTTTAGCAAACAGATGCTGCCCTGGACGTGCTTATCAGGTTGTGCCAAGAAATCTTGAGAACAGCTACCTGGCCAGTAGGCTGGGAGATATTCATATTTGTTCCCATTTCAAAAAAGTGTGACCCAACAAAGTATGGGAATTATTGCACAATATCACACACAAGCAAAATCTTGCTGAAAATGATAAAAAAATCACTGGAACAGTACATAGACACAGAACTACCAGCAGTGCAGGCTAGGTTTAGAAGAGGCTGTGGCACTTGGAGACATCATTGCCAATGTCAGCAGGCTCTTGGCCGAAAGCTGAGAGTATTGAAAGACTGTCTATTTGTATTTCATTGACTATACAAATCACAGTGAATTTTGTCTAATTTTGAGAAGAATGGGAATCCCAGAACACTTAATTGTGCTCATTCAAAACTTATATTTGAATCAGGAGGCAGTCATCAAAGCAAAGCAAAGAAAGACTGCATGGTCAAAATCAGGAAAGGAGTGCATCAGAGATGCGTCCTTCTCCATACCTTTTCAGTCTAAATGTGCAACAGATCATATTTTGAGGCTGGTTTTTATGAGAAGGAATATTGCATCAGAATTGGAGGAAGACTCGTCAACAACTTGCATTATACAGATGACATAACCTTGGTCACTAAATGTGAGGAGGACCTGAAACATCTGTTAGAAGGTCAAGGACTACAGTCTTTAATATGAATTGAAGCTCAACATCAAGAAAACAAAGATTTTATGATACGTGAACTAACTGACTCTGAAAAAAACAAATACAACTTAAGATCATTATTGTAAAAATAGAAGGATTACTAGTATGGAGGTCCAAGGAGGGAGAGGTGGGAGCAGAGGGGTGAGAGTGGGTAGGGGGGAAATCTCAGGGTCGCACAATTTTGGTAGGTGGAGTGAGGAGGTAAGGAAATAGGGAGGATCCGGAAGGGACCCGAAAAGACAAAGTAATGGTGTCCATAGTCCAGTGGTGATTAATCTTATAAAACACAATACATAGCAATGATTGTATGAAACATAATGCCAATGAAGAAAAGTGTGTGTGTGTGTGTGTGTGTGTGTGTGTGTGTGTGTATAATCTGCATTAAAAAAAACCCTTATATTAAAAACAACCCCCAAAATTATTTCTATTTCTAAGCCTGTGGATATTTGGTTTGCAATGTCACAGCAATTTTCAATGTAAAATATTCTAAACTCTTTGAAAACAAACCAAACTCATCATTCTGAAGGTGGTTCCAACTCATAACCACCCTCTGTTGTGACTTGAAGGCTATTAATCTATGTGGGAGGAGACTGCCCTCTCTCTCCTGAGGAGCAGCTTGTGGATTTAATTACTGATTTTTTTGGTTATTGCTCCATGCGTTAAACACTATGCAGAACACTTTCTTTTGCTTATGGCATCTTTCAGTTTTGCTGCTCAAAGGTTGAATTGGGTTTTAGTTCTTTCAGCTTGAGAAATGCTGAGCGAGTTCTTTGCTTTTTATTCTCTGACTTCAACTCTGCACGTTTTACTGTAATACTTTGCTTTGTCTGCTGTAGCTGGCCTTCAGAATCTTCTGTTCAGCTCTTTTACGACAGCATCTCTTTCCTTTGTTTTGGCTTCTCAATTCTTTACTGCAATTTTCATAGTTTCTCCTGACATCCATTTTGGTTTTTCTTTCTCCTTTATCTTTGTAATGAATGAACGACCTTCTGCTCTCTTCATGAGTGATATCCTTGGTTTCACTCCACAGCTCCTTTGGTCTTCCATCATTGGTGATCAATGCCTCAAATCTGTTCTTAAGATGATTTTTTAATTCAGATGAAATAGACTCAAGGTAGCATTTTGCTTCTTGTTGATTTGTTTTAATCTTTTTCAGCTTTAATTTAAACTTGCATGTGGGTAATTGATGGTCTGTTCCACAGTCAGCATCCAGTCTGGTTTTCACTCCTGATACAGAACTTCAAAAATTCTTTCCACAGATGTAGTCAATCTGGTTCCTGTGCTATCAGGGGAGGTCCATGTGGAAAGTCACCATTTGTGTTTCCTAAAAGAGTATTTATTATGAATAAATCATTGAATGCGCAAAATTAGAAAGAAAATAAAGATTCTCACCACTGCCCCAACTGGCAGCACCATGATAGATGGAGAAGAGATTGAGATTGTTAACAATTACAGCTTGCTCAGTTCCACAATCAACACTCTTGGCACCAGCAGTCAGGAAATCAAAAGACAAATGGCACTGGGAAAATCTGCTGTCAGGGAATTCTTTAGAGTACTGTATAGCAATGATATAGGCCTAAAGAACCTGATTCAGGCCATGTTCTTCACAATTACTTGCTATGCATCAGACAGCTTGACATTTAATAAGGATGATAGAAGAAGAGTTGATGCCTTTGAGTTGTGATGCTGGAGAAGAGTGTTGAACATACCATGGACTTCCAAGAGAACCAACAGGTCTGTCCTGGATAGGGAGAAACTAAGTTACTCACTTGAGGGCAAGAATTTTGAAGCTCGGCCTCACATACGTTGGGCATGTTGCTAGAAGGGATCAGTCCTTAGAGAAGAACATCTGCTTAGATGGATGGAGCGACAATGCAGCATCTAAAGACCTTATATGAGATGGATTGACATGGTGCCTGAGGTAATAGGAACACATGTGTTGGTGACAGTGAGATTGGCTCAGGCAAAGACAGGGTTCAGAGCTTTTGTGCAGGTGACTCGACAGCACATAATGACAACACTGGTAACTTAGGAAACATTGATAACACAGTCTGTAGGGAGCTGTTGTGCTCTCTGGTGGTTCAAATCCACCAGCAGTTTTTGAAAGTTGGTAATGTATTCCCGTTTGATTTATAGTCTCAGAATCCAGTGAAAGGCCAGCTATGGGTTAGTTCTTACTCAACAGCAACGAGACTTGAGAGAAAGATCGGTAACTTAGGAAGGAGAGCGTCACAGTTAAGTGGGATATGTTTTGACTTTCAATACATGTTCCACTCAAGATCCACTAAATAGAAAGGCTATATATATTTTTGAAGCGTCATTTACTACTTCACCTATTGGATGAAGAAAGTAAATGGTTGGCAAAAATCATTTCCACGCAGGGAAATGGAAAATTTATTTTAGAAAATAATTGAGGTACATTCTTGAGATTCTACTTTAAATTGTCTTAGTTTGGGATCAGACATAGCAGTTAAATTTAAAAACCATAGCCTCGATCCAAATGAATGATTTTCCCACCGTGGCAGCTTGATCAACAGTGGTTGGTGAGAAGTTTTAAAGGCAAAGTCTTTTTCCTTAAATTCTTCTATTAAAGAAATTATACCCTCAGCCTTTGTTGCATGTCATGAAAATGGGCTAGATTCTATGATGTGGTTTCTATGCCTTATAGCATGTACTTTCATCACTTTCAGGTGGCAAAAAAATTGCTTCCCTGCATTCAAAGTATACTTACCATATTTAAGTTATTTGCATCATAACCACTCAAACTAAATAAGACGTTGCTGCAAATACGATGAAAGAACTTCCTGTTGCAGACCTTAGTGGCAATTAAATGGTCAAAATTTGTAGTTGGGTGAAACATCTTGTCACCAAACAAAATCTACAAGAGCAATGAAAAACATTGTCAAAGCGAGGGAATTTGAACATCAAGAGTGGAGAATGAGTGGTAATTCAGATAAGGACTGACAAGAAACTGACATTTTTCTCACTATTGGTAGTTAAAGCATGTTGTCATTAAAACATGTTGTTGGTAGGTGCCACCAAGTCGACCCTCACTCTTAACAACCCTATGAACAACAGATCTGAACTCTATCCTGTACAATCTTCACCACCTCTGATATACTTGAGCCCATTGTTAGAGTCACTGTGTCAGTTCATCTTGTTGAAGGTTGTCTTCTCTGGTTCGGAACCTCATCCTTTCCCAGATTGATGTTTATTCTAGGGACCAGCCCCTTCTAACATCATGCCCAAAATATGTGAGATAGAATTTCACCATTCGTGTCCTAAGAAGCGCTCTGGTTGTATCTCCTCCAAGCCAGAATTATTGTTTTAATTGCATATTGTGGTTATTTTTCTGTGCATTCAAGTTGGAACTGACTTGTAGCTGACCCTCCAGCATGGTTTCAGAGGCTATCAGTCATTCTAAAGGAGGCTGTCTTTTTCCCACTGAACAGGTGGTGAATTTAAATAGAATCAATATGACAAATCAACTTTCTTTTTAGCTGCTACTGAGGAATGACGAGGGAGAAATGAGGCTGGGGTTAGATACAGATGGGATCCGATGACATCCAATTAGGCTCCCTGATCAGTAAAGGCTATAATGTCATCAGTAAATCAGGACTATCATCAATAAACCTTTCATATTATCAGGAATGTGCAAAGTGTTATTCATCTCATGCTCTCTATTGTTGAAACCAATGGAAATAGAACTGGTTTCAGGTACTGCAAGTTTGTAAATGGGAAGTCATATACCTTGACAGCTTTCCTGGAAAGATTGGTATATTTTCTCATGGGATTTTCTGTGTACTTCACTGTGGCCACTGGTGCGAATGCAAAAAATATCTTGATCCTCCTAGCAAGCTCTGGATTTTCAGAGAATGCAATGAAAGCTGAAAGGGAAGAAGACTCCAGTTCATGGATAAAAACAAGTCCTCATCTATTTTAAATGATAGGGGAAGCAGCCAGATTAAAAAAAAAAAACAAATAAGCAACACCAAACAAGAAACACCCCCCCAATCCCCAAATGATAAGTATCCTCTACAGAAAAAAATGTTGCTGAATTTCTCAAGGGTAGAACTAACTGGATCAGAATAAAAGGTTTTCTAGCCACACTGAGTGAAGGTCTACCCATAGAGAAGATTGTGGAAAGGATTCAGCAATCACTGTGAATTTAAGCTGGCAAACTCCAATAGCCATTCTAGCCCAATAATAGACATCAGATGATATGGACTATAATATAGCTTTCCACTTAGAATTTTTGGGTGAAAATTCAGGTACATTAACTATTCTTTGTGATCTTAATTTTCTGACTCTGTAAATAGAAATAGTAAGATCCTTCTAGGATTCCTGTGAAAATGAAATGAAAGCAAAACAAAAGAAAACTCACTCTAAGACAAAGAATGTGTTTCTAGGAATAATCACTAGAAAGGTTTTTTAAACTCAGTTATTTGTGAATATGGATGATGGTGTTCTTAAATTTTAGTTTTCACTGAGAAAATATATGTAGAATATTTAGTGAAGGTAGCCTAGTGGTAAGGAGTTGTGCTGCCAACCCAAAGGCATTTGGCTCAAATCTACCAACTACATTTTCGGAGAAATATGGGAAATCTTCTCTCGTGTGATTTACTCCCTCTGAAAAGCTGCTGGAGGGTCATCTGTGAGTCGATTCTGACTCCACATCACTTAAAAACTTTATACTAGAAAATTGATCAATATAAAAACATTTGAAAGATACTGTTAGAAATGTTGGTATAGTAGTTCAATGGACAGTAATGAGAACATTGAGGTGCCTTGTGGCCAACATGACCCTATTCACATCTTGCCTAACCCCCACTTCCTGCTATCTAAAAGTCACACTGATAGTAATATCTTACTTAACTGAGTTTGAAAATTCTTCACTCTCTTTTTTATATCTCTCCTTAGACTGCAAACCCTGTAAAAGAAATATATCTACTTATCTCTGCTTCCTGGCATCTAGCCCCATGTCTACCAAATATTGTTGGTGTACAAAGACAGATGTGAATTATTTTATCTATTTCAAGCTCAGTTATCAAGCTCCAAATTCAGTTCTGGTGAAAAAATATCCCTTTCATTATCATTGTTATCATACCTCAGTAACCAGCCAGTGGAAATAAATTCCCAACTTGAGTATTCAGGTTAGGTACTGCACAAAGAGAGAAATCCTACCATCTTTTGCTATGCTTTGAAGAAAAGCCTTTGATGGTTTTTGATCTAACGTGTCCCAGACATGCCTACCTAAGGTGGTGCCTTGGGAGTGGCCCACATAGAAGAGTCGCTGCTGTCCAGTCTTCTCTATGATGAAATCAATTGTGTCTGGAAGGTCATATTTAGCCATCTCGTCAAAACTGCCAACAAGAAGAAAAAACAAACTTGAACAAACACATCATTGTTAAAACCAGACGAGTTGCTATGGAGTATATTTCAACTCCTAGAGACCGTGTATGTAACTGAATAGAACTGCACCTCAAAAGTTTTCAAGATTGTGACTCTTTGGAAATAGATAAATCTGTACTTCCAAGGCATTTTGAGGTAGGTTTGAACCACTAATTTGGTCAATAGTCAAGTGCTAACTGTGTCATCCAGAGAGAGACATTATCAACTTCATCTCATTGTTAGGACTTGTGAGGGTTAAAATTGTATGTATATTTGGCTGCTGAAGATTCTCTGCCTTGTCATTTATGATGTAGTCATGCTCTTGATGAGGTATGATGTAATGTAACCAATCCTTTGAGGACATCTAATATCATATCACTTCCTTGTTGAAACTTAACCTCGTATCATTGTCTCCGTGAGCAACTGATCAGTGAAAGGGAGTTTTGTTGGTGATGTGCCGTACATCACATATATATGAATATCTGGGAAACCCTCTGCTTTTGTTCAATCTGAATCCTGCAGATTTTTGGGTTTCCTTGCCAACATTGGATTCATCAATGTCAGCAGCTATATAAAAAGAATCCTTTCCTCTGAGGTTTGACCCATGAGAGTGGGACTTCCAAGCTATAAGCTAATGAATAATTTCCTTGAGATAAGCTTCTCTCTCCTTTCTTATCTATATCTATCTATAAGGTCCTCTGGTGTTTTTGTGGTAAGGAGTTGTGCTGCCAACACAATGGTACTTGCTTTGAGCTCAACAGGTTCTCTGTAATAGAAAAAAGATAGGCAGTCTCTTCCCTTGCAAATTACTGTTTCTGAAACCTACTGGAGAATCAACTAAGAGTCAATTTCAACTTGACAATGGCATATAACAACAGTATATCTACTGATACCAGCCTCATTGGTTTCACTAATGTAGACCTCAGCTTTAAACAGAACTGCAAAATTTAAACATAGTCATACATATTTTGCAGATATAGATACTACGAAAATAGTATGATGAGTCTGTGTACATTGTGAGGGTATCAAGTGGGTTAAAAGAAAGGTTTAAGAAACTACAATCACAAACATCTTCTTTTCATGGTTCTTGAGATATTTTCCTTTGGCATCTAGTCATATTTCACCTATTTCTGTAGCAGAATTAGCTAACTCCCATTATTTTTTAAAAAGATAATAAGTTAAGCACAATAATGAATCTCAATTTAGGCAGAAGGAATAAAATTTCCAAGAAAAGGAAAAGCCTGTCAGTAGGCATGTTTCTTATCACCTTAGTTACTTCTTGTTCTTTAAGGAGTTTGTCCTTTGGAAAAGTGCAATAATCACTGCAGTACTGCAGTGAATGAAGTTTGGGTTCTCTCCCTCTCGCTCTCTCTCTATTTTATTGTCATGGAGTCAGAATCAACTCATAGATGCTGACCTTCCACTGAGATTCTGAGGCTATAAATCTCAGAGGAGGAGATTGTCTGTCTTTCTCCCTCAGAGTGGTGGGTTTGAACCACCTGAGAGGTGTGACTTTTAGGTTAACAGTAAAACTCCCTGAAGACTAGGCCACTACAAGTACATAAAATAAGTGTGAAATTAGGTGATTCCTTTGAAGACTTCGAGAAATTAGGTAATGCCTTTGAGGCATAAGGTAAGCCAACAGTGTTTCGCTATTATGACCATCAAGTTCTGGGTCTTGGAGCTCTGGTGGGCTAGTAGGTAAATATTTTCACTGTCAACTCAAAAGCAGAGAGCTTGAACCCACTTTGGTGGGTGAAAGATGGGCAGTATACTCCATACAGTATACAGCTTCTGAAAATCCACTCTGGGTCAGTTCCAACTAGACAGCTTCACACACACATACAGAGAGAGAGAGAGAAATGGTTAATATTGTATGTCGATTTGGCCATGATGACATGGTTTGGTATATATGTGAGGTAAAATGGCAGTTAGGTAAAGATGTAGTTATCCCTCACCATCAGCCCTTATCAGAAATAATATCTTAACCTTATTAGCTATACTGTGATGCAAAATCCTTAATGTGTTAATTGTCCTGATCTACTGTAGGGGAAGTGTAAGAAAGTGGTGTGCATTGATTTATATACAGATTCTTTGGTAAAACCTGGCTTTGCTTGACCTGGATCCTACATGTGAGTTGTCTCTTCTAATTTTTTGGACTTGAACTACTGGTTTGTTATATGGCCTGCCTATCATAGTGGAGTTGGAAGGAGGAGTGGCACCCACTTCTGTAGTAACTTGCCTCCGGAAACCCTATGAACCTGGAGAGAGGATGAAAGGCACCAAAGCTTCTAGAACTCTCCTTCATAGAGTCGCTATGAGTCGCCTGCGACTTGATGGCCCTTAACAACAACAATAACATTATGGTGGAGTGGACCAGGGGAGAGGGATTGTAAAACAATGGGGGAACTTTTACTTTTCAAAGAGAAGAGTGTACTGGTGGGGGGAGGGTTGGGCAGGGAGAAAAGTGCAACAATGAATGAAGTCCAAAGTATCTGAAAAGTTTCATTAAAAATACTAAAAAATGATTAAAAAAAAAAAGAATCTACTCCCTCACTTGCTGACCTTGGACTCATCAGTCTTTGCAGCTATGGGAGTCAGAAGGACCTCTTTCTGAGATTTGATCACAGACCCATAGACTTGAGATTTGTCAACCTCTAATAGTGCATCAGTCATTTCCTTGAGATAAATCCCTCTACAGGTGTAGATGTCTATATGCATATATAGATATGGGTATATCTCTATCTACAGAGGCGTAACTTCACTGTAAATGTCACTGATTTTACTTCTCTAGAGAACTCTATGACATACATCAACACACACACAAACACACACATACACACACACACACACACAATCACATACATCAGAAAACTTGTTTTTGTTGTTTTTTGGTGCTGTTACATCAAGTGTGACCCACAGAGACTCTATAAACAACAGATCTGAATTTTTCCTATTCTGTGCCATCCTTACACTTCCTGACACACTAGAGCCCATTTCAGCAGTCATTGTGTCAATCGACCTGAGGAACTTCCTGTCTTCCGCCAACATTCCACTTTTCCAGGTATGATGATTTTTCCAAAGAATAACCTCTCCTAGTAACATGCCTGAGGTATGTGAGACAAAACTTCAACATCTTTGCCTCCAAGGAGCACTCTAGCTATACCTTCTTCAGGACATTTTTGTCTGTTCTTTTGGCAGTCCATGAGAAATTCAGTACTCTTCTCCAACACCACAGCTCAAAGTGATCAATTCTTGTTCTGTCATCCTTATTCATTGATAACAAGTGATCAGAAAGACTAGGACCTGAATCATATGTACCTTAGCCCTCAAACCAACATCAATATTTCTCACTAATTTGGAGAGGTCCTTGACTTCCAACTTTTCCAGTGCAATACATCTGATTTCCTGATGGGCATTACCAAGGATATTGATTGCAGATCCAAGCAAGATGAAATCATTGATGTTGCTTATTGGTCCAGTAGTAAGAATATTTGTTTTCTTAACATTGGGATGCAATCCATATTGTAGGCTGTATTCTTTGATCTCTACAACAAGTCCTTCAAGTCCTTCTCACTGTCAGTAAGCAAGGTTGTGTCATCTGCATAACACAGGTTATTGATGAGTCTTCCTCTGATCATGACACTACATTCTTCTTCACAGATTCTAGGTTCTCACATCATTTGCTCAGCATATGGAGATCATAGATAGCCCTAAAGCACCCTTTTATTAGTTTTAAATAATATAGTGTCCCCTTGCTCTTTTCGAAAACAGCCTGCAGCTTTTGGTTTTGGGATTATTTCTAATGAGAAAACTGGAGTATGAAAACAAGCAATAATGATAATAAAGGTTGTGTTGTTGTTGTGTGCCAATGAGTCAGAACTTCCTCTTAGCTGACTTTCCACTGGGTTTTCAGATGCAATAAATCACTTGGGAGGAGATTTCCCATTCTTCTCCCACAATAATGAAGGTGTTAGGGTATTTCTTAGAGTGTGTGAAAAGTCTGGGTAGAGGAAGAAGCATTTCTTTTATTTCCATCTCCTGGATCCCTTTAGGTAAGTTTGGACAGAAAGGGAAATATCAGAAGACATTAACACATATAAATGAACATCTTAGTCATTGTAAAAATTCCAAGTATTAAAAAGTAATATAAAGTATTAAAATAACTTCATACTTACTCTTTATTAAAGTACACACTTTATCCATTTGTAGCTGTCTCCTTACCTGAATGCCCAGTATTCTCTTGATTTGGGTGACAATCTCAAGTGTTTTTTAGACCAGATATTTCCTCGGCTATTCCCCATCCACACATCATAACCACGGTCAGCCAGAAGGAAAGCCAAGCTACCGTTTGGCAAGTTGCAAATCCAGTTAGTAGCAGCTCCAAATAAGCCATGTTGTAGAAACACAACAGGCCTTGGACCTGCAAAAAGAGATAACAAGGATTTCATGTCTCAACTTCCATGGTGTTTAAGAAAATCAACTCTCTTGACTTCTTGTAGTATGAAAGAAGAACCAAAACGTGAAATTCTATGCCAAACCTAGGTTCTAGCTGCTTCTCATTTACTTCCTAAGGAATGTTATTTATCTGCTGTATGACTTCTTTTTCCATTCATAAATTGAGATTCTTTAGAAGACATCCTTTGTTTATTTCGATACTGGACTCAGGTTGTTCTGGTTTGTAATCTTTTCCTCTTGTCATTTTCGGGCTGAGAAGAACTTCCTGAGATTAGTGGGCTACCAACCCTCAGAAAGCCCTCGGCTATCTAGAAATGAAGAATTAACAGTCTAGTCCATTTATCCACCCTTTTGAGAAAAAGAAGAGGTGTTACTGATTCTGCTGAAATTCAGTAGGTCCAAGTGGTAATCACAGCTCATAACCTCTACCGAATCTGGACCCTCTGAAAGTTTCTCAAGGAGACAGCTTTCCATCTCCTGCATTTTGACAGTTACACAGATGAGAAATGATGAGAAAATATAAAGATATATTCTTGGTATATTTACATCAATAATGGAGTTATTCTGGGAAATGATTGGCTCTATAATAACAACACAGTTTACTGTATTCTTTCCTAGTAAAAGAAGGAAATCCACATTTTACTTTTAAAAAATAAGCCCATCTGATACAGCAGCCCAAAGAATAAAAGGAGCTAAGAAATAGGACAACCACTTTCTGTTAGTTTAAATAGTATACCTACAGATATTACCAGAAAGTAAAGAATTTAAAAAAAAAATTCACAAGAGGACATGGAAAAAGAAATATGATTGCTGACATCAGGTAGATCTTGGGTTGAAAGCAGATAGTAACGAAAAGATGTTTGTGTTTTCATGACTATGAAAAGGCATCTTGAGCCACTGGGGGGTCAATAAATTATGGCTTACGCTGAGAAGGATATGAATACCAGAACACTTGATTGTGCTCATGTGGTACTTGTGCACAGACCAACAAGTACCCATTCAAACAGAACAAGGGAATCCTGCATGGAATTTAAAATTGGGAAAGGTATGAGTCAGAGTATGCTTTTATTATAAACCTATCTACCTATTCAACTAGTGAGCGCTAGTGGCCTACTGGTAATAAACCTACTGGTGCTACAATCCTAAAGCTATATGGTTTGAATCCACCAGCTGCTTCACAGGAAGAGGATGGACAATCTTTTCCTGTGTGATTTACTGTCTCTGGAAACCCACTGGGTTGGTTTTTTTACTTGATGGTACACAACAATGACAACAACATTCAACCTATAGGAAGCTCTAGTGGCCTAGGAGGTAAGGAGTTGCCCTGCCAATCCAAAGGCATGCAGTTCGAATCTAACAGTGTTCCATGGAGGGGAAATGGGCAATCTCCTCCTTGTGAGACTTATAGACTCTGAAAACCCACTTGAGGGTCAGCTATGAGTCAGTTCTGGCTCCACAGAACATGCAATTTAATAATATATGCCGAGTAAACAGATTATAGACTACATGAAGATGAATGTGACACAGGATTGGAAGAAGGCTCCTAAACAACTTATGCTATGGATACAATGTGTCGTTGCTTGTTGCAAGTAAAGAAGACTTGAAGCACTTACTGAAAAAGATAAAAGATTACAGCTTAAGTATGGATTCAATATCAAGAAAACAAAAATCGCCACAAATGGACCAATAGGCAACATCATAGTAGAAGCAGAAAAGACCCACGTTGCCATGGATTTCCGTTTAGATGAATCCAGAACATACAGTCATGAAAAAAGCAGTCAAGAAATCAAAAAGAATTTACATTGGGAAAATCTACTACCAAGGACTCCTTTAAAGTGCTCAAGAGCAAAGATGTCAATTTGAGGACCAAAGTATGTCTGACATAATCCTTGATCTTTTCTATTGCTTCATATGGATGATGAATGAGGAAGACAAAAAAAGAATTGATGCCTTTGAATTGTGGTGTGATGTAGAGAATTGAATATATCAAGAACTTACAAGTCTGCCTTGGATAAAGTGCAGCCAGGATAATTCTTGGAGACAATTATGTTGAGACTTTCCTTACATTTTTTTGCATGTTTACAAAAGAGGTTAGTCCTTGGGAAAAGATATCGTGCCTGGGGAATAGGAGAGTCAATGAAGGAGAGAAATATGTTAAATGATTCCAACATTGAAATGACATAAAAGTGACTTTAACATAGATACAGTAACTCCTACAATGGGCTGAAGCAAAGAGGAGATTGTGACATTGGCACAAGACCAAGTGTCTATAAATAAGCTCTTTACAAGTGGTGTCAATTCAGTCATATCTAACAACAGTAACAAGTTGTTGCTGTTAGGTGCTATTGAGTCAATTACAACCTATAGTTTCTGTATGGAAAAGAGATCTGAACCCTGTCCTATCCTGTGCCATTATCACACTTTTTGGCACACTTGAACCCATTGCATCAGTCACTGTGTCAATCTCTCTCCTTGAGGGTCTTCCTCCTTTTCGTCGTCCCTCTACTTTTTCAAGCATGCTGTCCCTCTTCAAGGAATAACCTCTCCTAGCAACATGCCCAAAGTATGTGAGGAAGATTTAACATATTTGCCTCCAAGGAACACTCCGGCTGCATCTTCTCCAAGACATATCTGTTTGCTCTTTTAGCAGTCCATGGGATATTCAGCACTCTACTCCAACACCACAGCTCATGGGCACTAATTCTTCCTCTGTAATTCTTATTCATTGTTCAGCTCTCAGATGCATAACAAATGATTGAAAAGACCATGGCCTTAATCAGGCAAGTCTTAGTCCTCAAACTGTCATTATTGCTTTTCAAAAATTTGGAGAAGTCCCTGACTAGACTTTCCCACTGCAAATGTCTTCTGATCTCCTGACTGCTGGTAACAAGGGTGTTGAATGTGGATCCAAGTAAGATGGAGTCATTGACAAAACTATGTTTTCTACACCTATCATGATATTGCCACTGGTTAGAATATTTTTGTTTTCTTGACATTGACAGTAACAAATAAGAGAAACCAAAATATCCCAAAATATTTGAGGAAAGATCTGCCTGGTGACTAGCAAGATGTCTAGACATCTTTTTACAACTAAATAAATCCTACCTGTTCTAACAGAGGATTCTTTTCCATGAGGAATCCTGTAAATTCCAAGGATATAGCCATCTTTAGTCACGACATCATATACTTCATTTGGATAACCCCAATAGGATATAATCTGGCTCTGAAAAGAAGAGTGAAAATATATATTGAAGTGTTAAGATTTCCATTTTTTGCACATGCATTATAATGTGTAGAAATTTAAGCTGCTGATTATGGTCCATCTATATATATATACTAGAATAACATTCAGAAGGTGAAAATTGGGATATTTTTTAAAAAGTACTATATACAAAGATATAAAGTTCAATGGGATGGTCAAACTTTTTGATTTGCTCTTAACAGCAAGCCTTTTGTTTATCTTTTGGCTTGGTATTATTAATTGTCGTGGTTTTGTTTTGTTTTGTTTTTACATTTGTTGGCAATTTATCCAATGTATATAGATGTTGTAATAAGTATATAAAACAAAATTAGTGTTTAAGAGTAATTTTTTTAAAAGTTATAAATGTTCATTAAAATCACAATTAAAATAAAATTTTATTAAAAAGTTATGTAAAAGAAGCAAGGACAGTTTGGGGTTGGCCAAGTTTTACATCTTCTAACTGTACAAGGGGTAACTGTACCTATCAACAGCATCCACAGTATAAAACTGATCCTACAGTACAAATCTATCCAGACATGGTTCCCATATTCCTGCACCTACTTCTGCTAATGGGTCCAAAATTCATTGCAAATGACCACACAGACTTTTCAGTATCTCTTTTTTACTTTCAGTTGCCAGATTTATTTGGAAAACAGGTTGGGGAGGGAGAAGGTAAAGCATATCATGCAGCAAAAGTCCAGGTTTAGTAAACAGTGGTCCCAAGCCAAGTGAAAAGCAAGATATAATTCTCTATCAGTACATGAGAGGTCCACATCCTCTCTGTATCTTCTCGCAATATACTTTTCAATATATGTTGCTCACTGTCTTGTTAAACTTAGCTACTGCTACTATCAAATTGTTGTTTTGATTTGCATCTCTCAGATTGACTATGATTTTGAACATTTTTTTTCATGTGTTTGCTGGCCATCCTAATGTTTTCCTTTGTGAAGTGTCTTTTTGTGTCTTTTGACCATTTTGTAATTGGCTTATCACTCTTTTTCTTGTGGAGGCATTGTAGTATTCTGTATACTTCAGTATGAGACCTTTGTTTGAAATATCATTGCCAAATATTTTTCCCTAGTCTTTGGGCTTCCCCCTAACATTGGAAAAAAAGATTTTGATGCACACAGGGATTTGATTTTATAGAATATCCCATTGATCAATTTTACCCTCTCTTAGTTCTGAATTTATGGCTATAGTTTAAGTATGTTTATGCTAGGATATCTAAGTTTGTTTCAATTTTGTCTCTTATGATCTTTTTAGTTTTTTGCTTTGACTCTAGGTCTTTGATTTACCTTAAGTTGGTTTTTTGTGTGGTATGAGATGTAGACGGTGCTATCTTTCGGATCACTTGCTATGAATCTGAGAGTTGGACGATGAATAAGAATGGCAGAATAAGAATTGATGCCTTTGAGCTGTGGTGTTGGGGAAGAATGCTGAACATCCCATGG